AAGTTAAAGATGTGTGTCTTTAAGATTTTTTTTATAGTATTTTTGTAATTCAAAGTACTTTTTTTACTAATAAAAGTTATTTATCTTTAAAGAATAAGAATTAAACTTAGTAAAAATAAAAAATTTTTAAAATTTATTGTAATGATTATAAAATATTTTGTTTATTTAATATTTAAAAAAATTTAGGTCTCTGAAAATCTAAGGTAAAATTTAATATAATTTTAAAAGGTCACTATATATATATGGTAAAATTATGAGATAAGAAAGGTTGGTAAAATTACTAGTAAATCTGAAATTTTGCCCGGAGACCTTTATTAGAAGTAAGCGGGGTCCTCTTGTGCCCTACCATCACCCTATAAAATTCATCTATATCCTTCAATAATAGCTATTGAATTATATAAAATCATTATATTGTAAGGCTTAAGTAAATGCTTTCACTACCTTCTAAAAGAAGAAAAAAAAAGAGGTTATGTTGTATTTGTACAATTTTGTGTTATTATATACCTTCCAAAGTACCCTGTTTCCTTCTTTAATAAATTGATTTATGTATTGTTTTGTTTTTTCTAATGCTATTGACCACTGTTCATTATGTTTCAAAATTTTCCTTCTTTCCAAATCATATGTACCCTCTTCTGTCTGTAAAGTTGGAATCCTTTTGTATACAATGTGTTGATGTGCTGATGGCCTTTTTCTTAGGTCTTGCTTTTTTATGCCTTTAGTATGTTCCCATTCTGCTACTGCCTTACAACGTAGTTGCCAAATAATGTTGTAAAATTCATTAACAAATATTTCTAAAAAAAGGGCTGCAATAGTTAGTGCTATTCTTTTTGATTTAACAATGGTCTTGAGTTCCCTATATTTTTCTTTTGGAAAGAAACTTTTTAACATTAAGTGAACATAAGAAATAGGCAGATCAAAGTTAACACCAGTTGTATGGGCAAAAAAATTATTATTCCATAAAAACAATTGTTGTATGTCTTCTTTATTTAGTTGTATATGTTTTTCTTGTGATAAAAAATTCTTGATTATTTGATTGCCTTTACATATAGTGTTATTTAAAGATGTTAGCCTTAATTATTTTTTAAAAAATTTTGAATTACGGCTATAAGATTTTTATAGCCTTAATTAATTACGGCATATAAAAATTTTGTATTACGACACTTTTTTGAATTACGGCTAACATCTTTAGTGTTATCAACTATTATTGTCCACTTGTTACTGAGCTGTTGGCAATATATCATATGATCATCATCTTCATTTTCTTCCAGGCAAAATCTACACTTTACATCTCCATATAAGTCATATCTTCTTTCTTTCATAATTTCTAAAGTTGGGAGCAAACAATTTAAAAGTTTTAAGTGCTTGATAAATCTGTCATTTGTTAGTGATGTTGTGCAATTGAATCCTATATTTTTTTTAAATAATGTCCAAGTAACTTTTTTTCTATTATGTTAGTTGTATCTAAGAAGACTGATCTGTATGTACGGTTGAGAGACCATGCTGCATCCAATGTAGATTCACATAGGTTGTCTATAAATTTTCTGATGTGTCTATCAACTCTTTTACCATCCCAATAAATGTTATATATTAAATCTTTTTGTTGTGAATCTTTAATATTAATGCAAATTGGTTTTTTTGTGTCATTTTTTGCCACCCTATCTGCTTCTTCATTACCTTTGACTCCTGAATGACCTTTAACTTTTACTAACTTTATCTCTAACTGTTTGCTATCGATAAGGTTAATTATACTACTTACTATGCTGTAGTTGTTGCACTTGCACCATGTTCGTGTTTTATCTTTCCCATTTGTTAAATTTGTTCTTATGTAATTAATACTATCTATAGCGGCTTTGGAGTCTGTAATAATATTTGCTTTCTGTCCTGTCTGTAAAACCAATATGGCTGACAGAATGGCTTCTAGTTCTGCACGTGTAGATGAGGGCCAGTCTGTGATCGAACTATTACATTCCAGCGTTACTTCATCTTTACTATTCAGTATCACTCAGCCTGTATCCATGTTAGGGTTTCGATCCGGATCTGGTCAATCCAGATTCAAATCCGGATTCCCTTGTTTTTTGGACATCCGGATCTTACTTTTTTGTAACGGATGAATCCGTTTTTATTAATTTGAGCCAGCACTATAAATTTGGCCAGAGATAGCAAATTTTGCAGACAGTTAATCTTTGACGTTTAATATTAATTACGGTCAAAATTATAATTTTGGTCAGAGTTAAGGTCAAATTTAGAATCCGGATTCAATCTGGATTTGCAAGAGAAGATCCGGATTCTATCCGAATTGCTTTAAAAAATAGGATCGAAACCCTAATCCATGTACTTTGTGAAAGTGTTAGAGCTATTGTTAAAACGATTTGTTAGTGAGCCATCTGTGTATATATTAATTCTATCAGGTGGAGTAAACTTTGATCTTATTTGTTGTAACAGCGCTATATGCTGTGTCACAGCTTCACTATTCAATAATGTGTTCTGGATTAAGGTCGTATCATAGTCTACCACTTGTATACTAAGACTATGTTCTAAAGTTTGTTGTGCATGCGGGTAGTTTCTATCTTCTATAATGTCCTTGATTATTCTAGTATCTGGATCATTTCAGTATTTAGATACTCTATTTATGCAAGTTAATGATAGTCGGTCTTTATTGAAACAGCAGCCACGGTTTTCTTTATTGACCCTTTTGTCGTTAAGTGAACAACCTCCACAACGCTTAATTAATTTATATGACATTTCATCGTCCATTTTCTGCCCACTATCAGCTGTGACCTAGTGTTGTATTGTATGTCTATTTGTTTGATGTTTTTTATTAATCTGTCCAAATGTTAACGTACAATTCTGCTGCATATGGACAAATTCTTTTTTTCTATTATCTATAGAAGGAGATTTCTTTGGCATCCTGAATGCCTGTGCGTTATTTAATTTAATTTCATCATTATCTATAAAATTTTCTGAATTTAGGGGCACCCTATCCATCATACAGTAATTTTTTAGGCTGGGTGCCTTTCGTATGAGATCCGTTAGCAAATCAAACTATTTCAGAATTTTTCCCCTGGCTGGTCTTTTATTGACGTCACAAATTTGTTGCCATGTAACTGTATCTGTAGCGTCTTGATTAACCAGTTGTAATGCGCCATAAATCGACAGGGATACCGCTTTCCTTATAATATATTCTTTATCTTTCCTGGGCATCTCAGGCGCTTGTTGGTATACAAAGTTTCTCACATTCGGACCTATTAACGGAATACAAATTAAATTTACTAATTTACAAATAATTTTAATAAACTAAAATTATATTTTATTAAGCAAATTTAAACTTATATTATTTAGAATTTTACTATAATTCATATTTTGAGTTTTAGCAAATTAATATAGATTTAAAATATGATAATTTGATTTTTAGTAAATTAG